GAGGGTGACAACGTGACGGTAAGGTAATGTGTGTGTAGATAGTGAGTAATTGAACTGCAGTCAGAAGTATTGTTGACGTTCGTTGATATAGCGTTTGTTATAGAACGATTGTTGAAAATAAGTGTATCGTAAAGTTGTATTCGGAAACAATAAACCAGTTTTATTAAGTAAGGACTTGTGTCGCTAAAGTTTTGTCGGAACGAAGTTACGGAAAGTTAATTAACAAACGGAGACGTAACAATACGTCCCGTAAAATTAAGAGACTTTGTTGAATTGTAATTTTGTGTTTGTAATTCTGTACATTTAATTAAGTTATTGTTAATTGTTATTGGTTTAAGGTAAGTGGCTGTTGTTCGGGACGAACAATACTAAAGAACGACATCGAGGTCACGTGACTAGTATCACGCCACGTCATTCTCGAACTTTCACGTCTTTTTCCTTAAATCTCGTGATCTTTCTAGATATAGTGTAGTCTTGTATATATAAGACCGGCCACGAAGCGACGGGGAGGTAATGTGTAATTGAGTATTGTTGAAGTCGAGCACGCGAGACGTTTGTTATAGCGCGACTGTTGAAATTAAGTGTATCGCAAAGTTATATTCAGAAAAAATAAACCAGTTTTATTAAGAAAGGACTTGTGTCGCTAAAGTTTCGTAGGAACGAAGTTACGGAAAATTAACTAGCGAACGGAGACGTGACACTACCTTTTTTTGCTTATTTACTTAATTTAACTTGATTACCAGAGTGATTTTACTCACGCCCTTAAAAATGTATTTCATATGAAGTATTTGTTTTTAAAACAATTAAATGATCAATATTTATTATTATTTTTTGGCATAATATGAAACATTAATAGTAAAAGTACGGATTTTGTTAATATACCCACTTGGTGGAATATAGGCTATATACCCGCGATAAGAAGAGCACAGGTAGTTTATTGTGGTTGAAAACAAATAAAATTGTTAATATGTTTTATATCATACTCATTTTAGAAGGCTCCCGGTGGAACGCATGTGTACGGACCTACAAGACCAAAATCCGGAGTTCGATTCCTTGCGATGACAAAGCAGACACTCCAATGTGGCTTTGTTCTGAAATAGACAAACATTTTAGAAACAAATGAATAATAGATCATTACTGGCACCAGGTGGCCGAAAGGTACAAGCAAGGAACTTGGAGAAGACGAAAGGAAACTTTTTAAATTTTAGGTAAACATATAAGTTAATTCAACTTTTGCATTTCTCGGAATGTTAATGTTTTTGACCTTCTTTTTATTAGTACACACGATATTCTATTTTGTCGTACATACTTATTACCATGGTTGCAAACAAATTACAATTTCAACTCGTGCGAAATGCACTTTATAATCTATTCTGTATTCACCTAACCCGGTAACCGTGTAACATAAGTATAATGTTAGATCATAACAGAAAGTCAGATTTTAACTTGTAAGTTGTAGGAAGAGTGCCTGGCCCATTATATGGATAATCATTATCATGCATGGTTAATAACTCCTCGAGCCAAACCATGACATAGGCACATGATGTATAATCAAAATATTCCAATGATATTCCACTTCGGACATTGTACAAAATTTAACTCGACAATGGTTTATATTTTCCGTTTGTAGGATTCCTGTAAAGTGTAAAGTCTGCTAATACAGATCTATTAAATATGTTTTTATAATTTTTGGTTGACTGTAGCCTGTAGGCCTAATTTTTACTAAAGTTTTTACTTAAATTCTTGAATAATCAAAATAATTTTTATGTGATACTGTTTGTACATAGTTTATTTTCAGTAATTATTTAGTTCAGGTTAGCATTTTAAGTGACATTGGAAATTTTATACAAGTATTTCTTGTGGTTTTAGAAAGGAAATTTATGACAATACATCGTACTAAGTTTAAGTTTAACAGTGGGATGGTGATAGTTAAATAAAATACTCTGTAAAAGCTGTTTTAGAGCATGAATTTTGAGCAACGATATAAGGTCAATGTTAAAATTTATAGATTGAACTCTTCTGTATACAGCTACTACAAATTGTGTAAAATGTGCTGTTGGTATGCTATTAATTTTTTGCACTAGCAATATTATTACCAGGCCCCATTCCCATTCACTGTGTTATTTTTGACTGATTAACAAATCCACTGATAAATTATAACAAGTTTTTTATTCCTGAAAATATCTGCAGATTTTCAACAAACTGAAATGTATAACTCTTGTTTAAGCACTACATTATAAGGGTTGAAATAACTATTTGGAGATAACATATCCTAGACTTACCATTACTGCATGAAGACCTGATATGTTGGAGCAGTTTGTGATTTGTGTTTTATTAATGGTGACAGTTAAACCTGAAATATTTTTGTAGTAATTGTAATGATGTTTCAGCTTAATCAGAGCTTTAAAGTGTTAACTGTGTTGAGCATTCTTTTACCAAGAATACTATGTTTCTTAAGGTTGTAAGTTTACAGTATTAACAGAATGTATGTTGATTCTTTAAGAATTCATCAAAAGCTTTGTATGTTAGTGTTTAATAACAACTGAAAGTACAAATATTAAACCTAATGTTATTTTTATTTCTTTACATCAACTGCACTATTCATTTAAACAACAAGATTTGTTTTATATTTATTTTTCTGTAGTTCTAGATTTTAATTGAAAACCATGATTTATTAAATAATTTTTATAAATTTTATCTATTAGAAAGCTAGAAGATGTTGATTTTTCCATCAGCAAAAGATGATGATCAGACATGTGCAGTCAGTCATATTTCAGGTAATTAAAATGTGTGCATGAATGTTAAGCAAAACTTTTGTTGTTATAAATAAATTAAAAAGGAAATATATTTAAGACATTGAATGTTAATTTATATCTTAAAGCTTTTTACAGATAAATTTTAGTTTTACATTATTTAAATATCCACTTTAAAAACTTCTATACATTTTTTTCTTGTCCAACTTGTGTTTTTAATTTGTGTGTAACTATATTTACAACTAAAGTTTGAAACAATTTTGACTGAGAATTGTTTGAGAAGTTAGGTTGACAGGTATTGATGTAGCCTGATCAAACAAAATATTTTACTTTAAAAAAAATACTTGATTTGGTCTGAGTACTCCTACAGTACACCCTCTGTAATAATCTGTTTTATCTATCAATTTAGCTCCCAGTATGTAAAATTCAGTTTTCTTTTATTACTCTGTGGTTATATTTGATTTGTCAGTGTTATTGTCAGAAAAAAAAAGCTTGAATATAATAAAAAAATAAAACTTCTAATGCTAAGTTTCTCAGAAACATCTTGAGTTTTTCCTTCGAGCTATACAGTATGGAACAATTGTTCTTTGCTTATAACTTTGAACTTAGTACGGTCATTAAGAATATCAAACATATTGTAACATAGCTTTGTTAAGAATAACAACTTTGTTTCCTTTGTCTGGTTGGTTGATGCCGATGTTTTTGTTGTTGGAGAGTTATTTAACAGCTGCCAGCTCTTCAGGTTTCAGATTTGAGGATATCCTGCATGTGTTATAGTCAAAGAAGGTGGAGAGTGCTAAGTTTTTTAACTTAGTAGTAACAAATTAATGTGCTTGCTCAGAAATACTTTTGGAAAAAATGGGTTAAGATCTAAAAGTTCTGATACAAGGATTCTCGGGGATAGAGGAAGTTGGCATAATTGAGTTTTGAGGAAGGCAAGCAGAAATTCAGTACTTCAGCTAATACAATTTTCTGACTGTCACTTAAAGTGACGTTGCTGTAGTTTGAGAAACTTAAGCAATAGAAATAGTATTTCTGATTGTGTTTACGAAAGAAAAAAGTTTTATATTTGATTAAACTTTGAATAATTTAATAATTTTTGAAGCTGAAATGTCTAATATATATATATATTAACCTGTGTAGAGGGATAGAAAGTTTAAAAAGGTTTACTCACTTGGTTGAGAAACTTTTGTGAGAAAAAAGTTTAGCTAAAGTTAAGTTGAGAAGTAAAGTCTAAAAAATGGAGATTGTTTCTTTTGAAACTAGTTATCTTGATATGCTCACATGTGAATTTAATCAACTTATTTTATTTTTTTTTACAGAATTTATCAAAATTAAAGTAGAACCTGTTGGACGATGGTATGAAGCACTTTGTGCACGAAGGAGAAATCGCTATAGTACTTCAGGACATTCAGTTGAAAGTAGTAGTTCAGAAGATGAAGAGTCTGAAGAAGAGGAGGCAGAAGAAGATGTATCTTATTTGCGTAGCCTAGATCCTAAAGACTGGAAAGTAAGAATAATTGATAAATCTTTTTGTGTTTGAGTTAATTTAATCTAAAGGCAATATTTTTTTTTAGACATACTGACTAGGAGGCATGTCACTTGCATTTATGCTAGATTCAAAAATGAGTCATAGTAATTAAAGTAGTAGTGGACTGAATTATAATTAAAAGGTTCTAATAAGTAATAGATTTCAGCTTTTAATTTGTGCAGATGATGAACTTGAGGAGGGAAGGATAACATAAGGAACAGATAGGGATGGGGATGAAAAACATGAGGATATTGCTATAGGAGGTTCTTTAGTACGGCGTATGGATAGGATAGTCTGTGGGATAAACAGGAAGAAAAAGAATTAGATTATACTAAAGTAGGTCAAAGCAGCATATTCTTAAGTACAAAGCACTGATAAAGGAATTCAAAGAAATGGACAATAATAACTTGATTTTGTCAGGGATACTGCCAAGACTTAACTGTGGGGATGAAAGTATAAGTAAGTCACTAGGCTTAGGTTAATATATAAGGAAGAGCAGGTTGTCTGGTTGGATTTATGGGAACAGTTCAATGGGAAAAGGGAATTTTTTCAAATGGATAGTTTACATTTAAATAGAGGAAGGGCTGGCTTGCTTGCTAAGGCTATTAACTCAACTGTAAATACAACTTTAAGTTAGGATTAGACAGTGGTGAGGGCCAGAATAATGAAGAAAATCTAAGATATAGAGAGGAGTATTATGTGGGAACAAGTTACAAAGGTAGTTTTAATGCTAGAAGTATAAGAAATAAAATGGATGAATCTAGAACAGTTGTTGGAACAGAGGATTTTGATATAATAGGTATAACGGAAATGTGGCTAAATGTAGAGAATTTTGATGGAAGAAATTTCTTTGAAATACGAAGTTATAGGTTGTTTAATAGGGATATATAGTACTAAAAAAAAGGCAGAGGAGTGACTTTATATGTAAAATATGAGTTGTTTAATAGGGATATAGTATTAAAAAAAGGCAGAGGAGTGACTTTATATGTAAAATATGAGTTGTTTAATAGGGATATAGTACTAAAAAAAGGCAGAAGAGTGACTTTATATGTAAAATATGAGTTACGGTTTGCTCAGTATGAGGATGTTAAAGCTAATAGCAGTGATGTTGAATCTGTTTGGGTTTCTATTAGTGGTTATAAGGGGAGAAAGCTTTTAGTTGGAATATTTTACTGACCACCAGGTGAAACTGATGGAATTAATGAGAAACTACAATGATATACATAATTCAACTGTTAATGAGGTTATAAAAATTGTTTCAGTAATTATATGCCAATTAGTCTTACATCAGTTGTGGGAAAAGTTTTTTGAAGTCTGATAAAATATGTTTTGCAAAGTTATTTAACAAAGTTAAAAAATTTTGATAGCGTGGTTTCACAAGGGGGAAATCTTTCCTAACTAATCTTTTGACATTCTTTGAAGAGGTTACTGCTTATTAAATAAAGGTAAGGGTGTGGATTTGGTGTATATGGATTTTCACAAAAGCATTTTACAGAGTGACACATAAAAGGTTTGGTAAGAAAATAATGTGTGTAGGTGTTTGAGATAGGTTTCCTTATTGGATAGATAAGTGGATAGATGGAAGAAAGCAAAGGGTTGTTATAAGTGGAGTTCAGTCAAACTGGATTAATGTTACAAGTGGGGTACTTCAGGGTTCAGTGTTAAGAACTTTGCTTTTTTTGATTTATATCAATGACATAGATGAAGGAATGGTCAGTAAATTACTTAAAGGATTTGGACATTGCTGTTTGTGAGGATGGCTTTTAAGCATAATAATGCATGGTCATACGTACAAGTTACCATAATTTGAATAAGAATAACTTTAACAGTGTTATGGAAGAAAGGGATATTAGTGTAATGGTTGATCAGTCAATTAAACCATCCAAGCAGTGTGCTGTTACTAATGGTAGGACAAATATGATTTTAGGTTGTATCTACAGAAGTCTTGAATACAAGTCTAAAGAGGTTATAGTTTCATTGTATAGATCACTAGTCAAGTCACATTTGAAGTGTTGTGTTCAGTCTTGGTTTCCTACCTTAGGAAAAACATTGAATTTTGGAAAAGTTTCAGAAAAAGTCTTCTGTAATTATAACTGAGATGGAAATGTTGTCATACAAAGATAGGTTAAGATCTCTGAACTTTTCTCTTGAAGAAAGAATAGTCAGAGGGGATCTGATTTAGGTATTTAAGAATGCAAAGTGAATTGATAGTGTTGATGCATCATGTTTGTTCATACTTAATTGTGAGAATAATACAACTAGGTGACAAATATAAATTTTGGCAGGGTAGAATACATCTTCAGCTAAGACAGCTATACTTATCTAGAAGGATGGGTTGCCTTCAGATATGGTAAATACATCTTCAGCTAAGACAGCTATACTTATCTAGATGGATGGGTTGCCTTCAGATATGGTAAATACATCTTCAGCTAAGACAGCTATACTTATTTAGAGGGGTGGGTTGCCTTCAGATATGGTAAATACATCTTCAGCTAAGACAGCTATACTTATCTAGAAAGGTGGGTTGCCTTCAGATATGGTAAATACATCTTCAGCTAAGACAGCTATACTTATCTAGAAGGTGGGTTGCCTTCAGATATGGTAAATACATCTTCAGCTAAGACAGCTATTCTTATCTAGAAGGATGGGTTGCCTTCAGATATGGTAAATACATCTTCAGCTAAGACAGCTATTCTTATCTAGAGGGGTGGGTTGCCTTCAGATATGGTAAATACATCTTCATCTAAGACAGCTATACTTATCTAGAAGGGTGGGTTGCCTTCAGATATGGTAAATACATCTTCAGCTAAGACAGCTATACTTATCTAGAGGGTGGGTTGCCTTCAGATATGGTAAATATAGTTAATTTAAGGAAGAGCTTGATAAATATTTGAATAATAAGGGCTGATCTTGAGATTTTTTAGTGTTTAGTGGATAGGACAGTCAAGGTGGACCAAAAGGACTCTTGTTGTCCTTTAATGATATGTTGTGTTAAATGCAATTTACATCACTATATAAATCCAGAATTTCAGTTAATTTTTATACACCAGTTTGTTTTGAAAATTTTACTTTAAAGTCTTATGACACACAAAGATAAGTCTAGAGCTCTTAGTTTCTTCATCTCCAGGATGTGTAAGTTTATTTTATAGTACTTTTTCAGTCTTCATGCAAATATAAGCAGTTTGATCTTAACTACAGTTACACCAGCAGAAAAGTTTACTAATTTTGTGTTGACAGTACAGTAAATACCACTTGATGTATGTTATATGTATATTTAGGAAAAGGTCAATAATAAACTAAAAATCACTAAATCTGTAAAATGTGAACAATTCTCAGTAATATCTAGCCAGTAACTTTTAATATGGATATTTTGTTTTCACAAATTCATATAGTTTTCTCATTATTCGAGATCCATGATTAAGTATATAATAGGTTGGTTATCTCCTCAAACTCTTTATATACGCTCTTAATTCATTCACTGTAACTGAACCAGCTTTAGTTATGACATACAATTCATAACATTGTTGTATGTTTTAACTTTTTTGTATATATTTTTGTGAAAGGTGAGAACCGCTGTTGTTCCAATAATTAATCTCTTTTGTAGCATCGTATTATTTGATTTTTAATCTTAAAACTCATTGTGATATGTTTCAGAGCTTTGTTTATTTATAATCCTGTTTTTGAACTGGTTTTCTTCAGTTTTTCAGTATAATTTTGTACTATTGCAAGCATTTCAGTATCAGTTCTGCTTGTAGCAAGACAGTAGAAGCTAAAACATTAGTAGTTTTAGTTTTGATATATTTGTCTGTCATCTTCAATCTTTAATTTCAAGTCATCTGATATTTTGTTTCATTGACTGTGGGCACAAAATTTTTAATTGCTACTCATGATACTGAAGCTGTTTTGCCGTTACCATTATCCACCTCTGTGGGTAGATAGTAGAAAGCTTTCCCCCTTGTTTTCAGACCTCGATAACCTATTTTTCTTGACTTAAGTTTTGTTTACGTAGTTTACATGTGTTATCAAGTAAGGACTTAATGGACTTTGAAGATCAAGCAAGTTCTTTTACATTTTGTTAGATAATGTAAAATTTAAAGGTATGAAAAGAATCACATGATTTTTAAAATAATATTATCCAAACATTGTTGTTTACTGACACATTAGAATTATTTCAATAGAATCAAGACCACTATGCCGTCTTGGGACTGAAGAACAAAAGGTACACATCTACAGAGGATGAACTAAAAAGAGCTTGTAAGTGTTTTATTTTAAATTAAGAAACAAATGTGATAAACGTTTCTCCATCATGATATCTATCTATCTATCTATCTATATATATATATATATATATATATATA